CTGGCTCCATTTCAAGAAAAAAATTGTTTGCAGTTTTTAAGACAAATTGATACTTACTCTCCAGAAATCTTGTTAAGAAAGTCTTTCAACTGGTTTCCAGCGTCACTATTTCCATGAGTGTCGAATCTCACGGATTGCTCCACAATTCCTGCATTGAAAAATGCTTTTTTTTTTTTTTTTGGTATCGAAAACCACAGGGTCTTGCACACCTCGTTAATAGAGAGATTACTCTCGACATTTCTTTGAATAAAAGCCGAGTAATTTAAGAGCTATAAAATGAGTTACCTTACCTTTACTTCTATTTTCATGAGCAAGAGCTCAAATATCTCGTTTCATGCATTTTTAATCACTTTATGCACTACACTATTGTAGAATACTGTAGAATATCATTTTATTATACTTCGATAATTCTCCTCACTCCAGCTGTGGTAGACATAACTTCGTAAAAATGCTCAGAAGTAGTCGATCTACTTCTTTTCTCCAAATTTTTACGTTTTAGTATTATTAAAAAAAAAACAGCATTTAAGTACCAACACTGAAGCTCTTTACCTGTTACCGCATCCACGACAACAACATTATGCCCTCTGCCTTGTTTAGCGTGTTCAACGTCATTGACCTTGATGTATGCTCTGCCGCATGTATTTGGCGTTTTTCCTGGATCATTACAGCCTTCGCTTCGGATGTCAATTTTTATGGAAGAGCCTGATAATCAAACCAAGAGACAAACAAACAGTTTAAATTTCTATTTTAATAATAAACTATGAGGGTGGATAGCGTTGAAGGCGCCCTCTGATTGGTTACTCAAACTCCGAAAATCCTTCGCTATTCACATCCGAGCAACGCGGCCTAGATTTCAATCCGAAAATTTAAGCGATAGAGAACCCCGGGGGGGCCTGAGAAAATTCGAGAAAGTTCTTCAAACCTGCAACACAATTCATATAAAACAAAATAGAAAACATGTTGGAGAGGAAGAAATAGAGATTGACCCTATGTCGTGTTATCCTGAAAAGAAAAGGATTAAAATAAAAAATATCTATTTATCTATATACAATGAAATATTATTAGAACTGATTATTAGATGGGAAAAGATTCGAAACAGACTGATCCTTAGTGTTATGTTGGGTAAGCCTCTTTGGGTAGGTAGTACATTAGATGATATAGTGGCCGGACCAGAAGTAAGAGAGAACAATCGTCTTTAGCGAGATTTCCGGGGCGACTGTGGAATTTTGGCGAAGTTAAGGCGTCCCCCTTTTCTCGAATTCTAATAGGTACCTACTAAATGACTCTAAAGAAACAATTTACCCTTAATGTATGGTCCCGAGGGAAACAGTTAGTTTTGTTTTCCCGAGAGTCCTGATGTTTCCCTACACGAAGTCGAGGGAAACATCAGGACTCAAGGGAAAAAAACTAACTAATTAGTTTCCCGAGGGACCATACATTAAGTGCTTTGTTATATATTTAGACTTTCCCTAAAACAATCATATGGCCAAAACATGCCGTTTTATTCGGCACGTGGGCAACAACTGCGCAGTTTTATCCCGGTCGGAATACATTTAATTTGATCACGGGCCGTGACCAAGAATCAACCATTCACAGCGTTCGTTTTGTCGAGTGAAAGTGTAGGCATATAATAGTAAGATTTGTTTCTCCGAGTTATTATGTTGACGTCGGTTGGCTCCCAGGTTCGTTTCGGTTTAAAATGGCACGACCTGATCACATGCGAGTCGAAAGTCAGATACGAAAGAACGTTCGGCAGGTAGCGCTCCTGAGAAGAAAATGAATGATTAACACTCGATTTTACACGGATACTTGCTGTATCATAAACTTGCATTACCTGTACTGAAACAAAACTTAGTTCAAAGTTATTGTTTAAATATCAACTACTTTGAAAAGCAACTGCCAGAAAAAAAAAAGAAAAAAATGAGAAGAGTGAAGAGTTGAGAAATAATTAAGTGTAGCGTAATTTGAGAATGAAAATTTTACCTTGGACTGTAATGAAAATATCTTCAATCATCAGAATGACCAACACGACAAAGAGCGGCTTCATTATTAAGTGTTTGCTACACCTGTAAATTGCACAGGAAAGAATGAAACTGCACAAGTGGTCCTTATTGTCTTTAATGAGAAGGTGTAGACCGCCAACCCTTAGGTGTTAAAGGGCTTCATTGAGCTTTGAATGGTTCGTATCAGAATAAGAAAAAGAAAAGTATGCGCATATTAAACCCATTATTTTCCTTCTTATAATTTATTTATCTTCTTTAATTTTTTTCAATTCGGTAATTTATTTACAGAAAATTCCACGTTTTGATTAGTTCAAAATTCTTGAGAGAGTATTAGAAATTGTTAAAAAATTACAAGCGATTCCAAAACTAAAAAAAAAAAGAGAGAAAGAGGTTGGTGTATACTTATTAGGACCTTATACTTATGATATATGCCGATAAATTAGGATATAGCTTTTTGCTTTTTTCTGTTACCTACAACGAAGTTACTGCAATTAGAGTATCTTATCAGCCTGTTCACTGATGGCTTCCACATCCACTCTTGAGTAGTTTTGTGGACAGCCTCATAACTCAAACTGTTACATGAAGAGTATTTGAACAGTTAGGGAATTGGAACTTCACTGCCAAAATTCAATCTGTTTAGTGTTTAAGCCTTTTAATGTACGTGGTTTTAATGGGTTTAACCGAATGCCGTATGACGGCTATATATTTCAGCTGTTAGGTGTAAAAACTGACAAATTTAATTTTTCAGTCGCAAATAACCTAACCGTAAACGTTTCTTTTTTTTTACCATATGGGAAATAAATTAACTGTTAGTCCAAAATTGGTAAAATTTTTAACGTTTAGCCGTAAAAGCCATCACCCTACTGAGACTCTCCGGCTTGTCAAAAAGGACCCATTGTTACAATTTTATCTGTTTTTCCATTGGATTAAATTATAGAAGGACCCTTTACATTAAATTACCTTTAGGCGCCTTTTTGAAGTGTATTAACCAGTGTTTCCTCGAAAAAGCTTCCAACAGCTCTTTTCCGTTACTGCTACGAATGCGTTTAGAAATGCTATGCACTGCGAATTAATTGGATATGTTACCCACAGAACAACAGCTAAACAAACAAATATTATGAAAATCTTAATTGATTTACCCTCAGCCACAAGTTTTTGCGTAGAAAGATTCAGTCTTGCAAATCTCAATGCGCGGAAGAAAGAGAAAGATTTTTCCTGTATTGATATTAAATTCTGATCTTAGAGTATAACGCTTTTCTAGAGCTCGTGTAATTCGAACATTACAAGGGAGTTCAAAGATGAGAATTCGAAAATAAGCTTATAACGTGTAGAGCCGGTTATTTAAACAAAGTTTAGCTGTTGTTTAAAAAAAACCGCTTTCTTAACTATCTCGAATTTAGCTGAATCTTTTATCCGGACATTTATATTTTTGGACGGTTTCATGAAGGCCGAAAGCAAGCAGTAGAAGGACATTTATTTTATAAAATAATGAGAACCCTCCTATAGAGAACACGTAACGCCCTCTACTTGCGTAAAACGGTGGTTTGGGTTACGCATCGTGTAAATAAGCGGCCTGTAATGTTTAGGATTTACTTAGCTCTGTTGAGGTTACCAAGTCGAAAATCTTAATTACAAAGCTCCTTTGATGCATTTTTCACACAACCTTGTCTCTGATACGTACTGAGATGATAATTGTTTTGGTTTTTTATCGCGCCAAAACGTATTTTCAGGGGTTAAATTTAGGGTCACATTCAATTTCATTTAGTTACTGACACAGGCACATGATTAGAATTCAATTCTAATTGAAATCCAGTGCGAGTAGAAGAGCGAAATGAATAATTTGCCAAAGATAAGAATTGAGGAAATCATGGGACCGAGAAAGACAATTGTCAAGTGATCAGTATCAGTTATTCATTATTATCATATCAGGAAAAGTGAACCTTTAGTTTATTTCATTAACAATTATAAATAGAAAAATATTTTTTTTTAAAAATGTTAGATTGATGTTTTGACAAGGTTATTGATTTCGGACACCAGCGTCTGACTTTTGATGTTGGACACTAGTTACCGATTTGTGATTTTGGACACTAATGTCTAATTTTGCACTTCTAGTGTTGTCAATTACAGATCTACACATTTTCCATTTCGCAAATTACAGATTTGCATTTCCAAAATGAAAGGGTTTGAGTTCATTTAACAATTTACAGGTTTAAGTTTACTTTCATTTCGTTTTGCAAACTACAGTAAGCCCTCGCTACGATTCAGCAGGAAGTAAACTACGGTTAAATAATGACATCAGAACAAGTGAGGCAACACTGCATACGGACGTCCAGCGAGAGCTCTGGAACGTTAGAAAAGTGGTACGTCCAAGCATTAAAAATTTTGGTGTTGGAAATTTGCCGTCACTTGTTTGTAATTTCTCCCTCAAAAGGTTTTTGCGGTCTTTGGATGAAGAGGCAATTTTGACCTGCTTCTTTGCTGCAGCTTTCTTGCATAAATGAAACTGTTATGGATTATTTCCGCCATCACTTTACTTTTAAGCCTCTCTCACGAATAATTTTTTCACTCTCCTTCAATGAAATTCGAGAAATTTTTACTCGTTTTCTCTACCACGACACTTCTTTATATCGATGAGAACGACTTCGCAATTAGCCTAGTCCTCACGCCGTAATTTCGGTACCAGATCACTGAACCGCGAGAATTGGAAAGTGGCCCATTAGATTGAAGTTGACCGCCTGAAACAAGTGTGATGGAGCAGAACGAACACAGGTAACTCTTTGATTTTTATTTACCTATCAATCTATATTGCTTCATACATATCTATATCTCTTTTTTGCATTTTTTTGAGATGTATTTTTTGAGACAATAGTAACGGGCTAAGCTAGGGTATCAAACTAAGACGATAGATAGTAACTTTGCGACTCTTTTGGTAACTGAATCCAGAAGTCCAAAAGTCCAGTCCAGTCCAGTATCCTGTCTGTTTACATGCAATGGATGTCAAAAAGTATCGGGTTCACATTCGTCGTCCCTCTCGTCAATGACGTCTGAACAAAAAAAAAAAGGAAAAAGATGGTTGTATCAAAAGTGAACTGCGAATTTGACTTCTTCGAGGTTAGAGGAAACGCGCGAGGAATCATTGATGAGAAACGGGAAAAAATGATTCGTTTTCAAACGAACACAAAGTATTCATCTATCAATAGATGTGACTAAATTATGGGGATTCCTTTCTTGCACGCATTGTTGGTTGACTCGTCTATATCTCAAATTACCCAGATGAGATGAAACAAGGATGAGTCTCAATTAGAAACGACACAGCGCACAATATCGATATCGCCTGACGGGTAGTTATTTCCACTATCACACATTTGAAATCTGAAGTTCGGTTACCTAGATTTTCTTTATGCTCTTTGGGCATTATCATTGATTACGTTTTTCAAACAATAACATTCTGTTAACGTTTAATGAATTATCTCTAATGTGAATTCATTCCAGGAAAGCAAACAAACTCTATGATTGTGACAATCAGACTGCCAACATTTTAGAATTTTAGCAACTTAGATTTGAAATTAAGGGTATGCTTAGCAACGTTGTGTTAGGCTGAAACGATAGGTTGCCGAGACATTCATCGGAAAAAAATAGTGGAGGTCGTATTATCCAAGAAACGTAAAGAAATCCCAGAATACATACAGGTATCGCATAAGGACAACTTAAACTTTTCACGTACAAATGTTGTGTAATAGTTATATAACCTACTTATCGTAAGTGGAACTGTCATGGAGATCACACTTGGTCCCTGCCCACTCTTGCTCTGTACTTGTGTAACATAAGATGGCTTCTGATCTCCTGGGTGTCCGACAAGAGCATATGATCCTCGGTAGTCAAGAAAGCCCAGATCGTAGCCTCCCATCCTTGTCAGAGCATCAAAAGCTGTTTGAACATATCTAGAACCCTCGTCTTGGACTGCAACCAGGACTATCTTACTGAAGTAGAAAAAGAAATTGTTAAATGTACCAAACTTTCATAAACATTTACTAGAGGCTTACTGTTGGATCGGTGCTGATTTTAAAGCTTTCTACCCCTAAAATCAATATGATGATATTCCACGCTATTCTTTACACATTCCTTGAAGAGCTGTCAAGAAAAATTTGTTTAACAATCAGCTAAGAGCCTCTTAAGTTGATGATGATATTTTTTATTCTCGGGGCCTTAAAGTGTCATTTAGAGATGATATAATAGTGAGAAATTAGATGCTAGTCACTCTTAGGAATTAAAGGCTTAATGTTGTTAAGTCCGGAGTTTTATTCACTGTATGTGTAACACTTCAAACTTAGAAAAGAAAACCTGTACCTGAAAAAAAGGATTTCAAGTAATATTCTGGTACATTTATCATTTTACCACTGAGCTTCATCTTTCCCATTGAGCGGGAAAACTAGTCCTAGTTTGTAAGCAAGTGAGCAGCATTTTGGAGTCGATTTGGTTGTTCGTCCGCATTGCGATGTTCAAATCTTACGCCGAATGATTGTCGTGATGAGTGAAAATTCTTTCATGTTTAGGTGCGTTTGTATGGTTAGGAAAACCAAGTGAATGCTTTGTGGGTCTTTTCGTGCTAACATTTCGGCCAGACCTTTTCAACTTTATCCTAATGTGTTTGCAAAATTTTCGAACCCCAAGTTTAAATTTCTTATGAAATTTATAAAAGACTCCCTATGCAATTCTGAGATTTGGCTCCATTTCAAAAAAAAAAATTGTGTTTGCAATTTGTAAGACAAACTGATACTTACTCTCCAGAAATACCGTTAAGAAAGCCTTTCAACTGGTTACCAGCGTCACTATTTCCATGAGTGTCGAATCTCACAGAGTGTTCCACAATTCCTGCATTGAAATATATATTTTTTTTTGGCATCGAAAACCACGGAGTCTTGCACACTTCCTTAATTGAAAGATTACGTTCGATATTTCTTGGAATAAAAGCCGAGTAATTTAAGAGCTATAAAATAAGTTACCTTACCTTTTTTTCCATTTTCATGAGCAAGAGTTTAAATATCTCGTTTCATGCATTTTTAATGACTTTAGACAGTATTGTAGAATACTGTAGAATACCGTTTCATTATACTTCGATAATTCTCCTCTCTTCAGCTGTGGTAGACATAACTTCGTAAAAATGCTCATAAGTAGTCGATCTACTTCTTTTCTCCAAATTTTCACGTTTTATTATTATTAAAAAAAATAGCAGCATTTAAATACTAACATTGAAGATCTTTACCTGTTACCGCATCCACGACAACAACATTATGCCCTCTGCCTTGTTTAGCGTGTTCAACGTCATTGACCTTGATGTATGCTCTGCCGCATGTATTTGGCGTTTTTCCTGGATCATTACAGCCTTCGCTTCGGATGTCAATTTTTATGGAAGAGCCTGATGATCAAACCAAGAGACAAACAAACAGTTTAAATTTCTATTTTAATAATAAACTAAAAGGGTGGATAGCGTTGAAGGTGCCCTCTGATTGGTTACTCAAACTCCGAAAATCCTTCGCTATTCACATCCGAGCAACGCGGCCGAGATTTCATCCCAAAAATTTAAGCGATAGAGAACCCTAGGGGGGGCCTGGGAAAATTCGAGAAAGTTCTGCAAACCCGCGACACAATTCATATAAAACAAAATAGAAAACATGTTGGAGAGGAAGAAATAGAGGTTGACCCTATGTCGTGTTATCCTAAAAAGAAAAGGATTAGAAATAAAAATATCTATTTATCTATATACAATGAAATATTATTAGAACTGATTATTAGATGGGAAAAGATTCGAAACAGACTGATCCTTAGTGTTATGTTGGGTAAGCTTCTTTGGGTAGGTGGTACATTAGATGATATGGTGGCCGGACCAAAACTAAGAGAGAACAATCGTCCTTAAGGCGAGATTTCCTGGGCGACTGTGGAGTTTTGGGGAAGTTAAGACGCCCCCCCTTTTCTTGAATTATGATAAGCACCTACTAAATGGCTCTAAAGAAACAATATACCCTTAATGTATGGCCCGAGGGAAACGTCAGGACTCTCGGGAAAACAATACTAACTAGTTTCCCGAGGGACCATACATTAAGTGCTTTGTTTTATATTTAGACTTTCCCTAAAACAATCATATGGCCAAAATATGTTGTTGTATTCGGTGCGTGGGCAACAACTGCGCAATTTTATCCCGTGCGGAATACATTTAAATTTGATTAGGGGCCGTGACCAAGAATCAACCATTCACAGTGTTCGTTTTGTTGAGTGAAAGTCTAGGCATATAACTATATGGTTTGTTTCTCCAAGTTCTTATGTTGACGTCGGTTGGCTCACAAGTTCGCTACGGTTTAAACTTGCACCACCTGATCACATGCGAGTCGAAAGTCAGATACGAAAGAACGAGAAGAAAATGAAAGATAGACACTCGATTTTACACGGATACTTGTTCTGTATCATAAACTAGCATTACCTGTACTGAAACAAAACTTAGTTCAAAGTTATTGTTTGAATATCAACTCCTTTGAAAAGCAAATGCCAGAAAAAAATTAATAAATAAATAAAAAGAGTGAAGAGTAGAGAAATTATTAAGTGTAACGAAATTTGAGAATGAAAATTTTACCTTGGACTGTGATGAAAATATCTCCAATCATCAGAATGACCAACAGGACAAAGAGCGGCTTCATTATTAAGTGTTTGCTACACCTGTAAATTGCACAGGGAAGAATGAAACTGCACAAGTGGTCCTTATTGTCTTTAATGAGAAGGTGTAGACCGCCAACCCTTAGGTGTTAGAGGGCTTCATTAAGCTTTGAATGGTTCGTATCAGAATGAGACAAAGAAAAATATGAACATATTAAAGCCATTATTTTCCTTCTTGTAATTTATTTATTTACCTTAATTTTTTTTTTCAATTCGTTAATTTTTTCTACAGAAAATCCCACGTTTTGATTAGTCCGCGGAGACGTTGGAATTTTTCGATCTTATGATCGAACCCAGACAAGATTCTTATCACCTCATTTATACCCTGTCTAAATGTCAAGGGAAGTCGATTTAAGCAAATTCAAACTTAAATTACTGTTATTTCAGTGAATTTTTTTCCTTGATTCCATTGATAGGTATATAGTATAATTTCACTCTGATAACGCAATCAATTTATTTTCCTCCTTTACGGGCATTCAGTTTCTTAGAGAAAAGACTGAATTCCAGGCCTTTTTCGAAAGTGTTGAACTCGAAAATTTGTAGCAACGCACACGTTTGTGACCAAAGTGGCATCAAAATTAGTTGGCAACGATTTGAAAAGAAAAAACTTAAACATGATACTATCATATCAGAAAATTTGTTAAGAATGAGCTGCATATAGCGAATTGCCGGTTCTTCGTCCTATTCAGATAATTAATGTATCTGTTGGATATAATTCAGAAACTGGCTTCAGTATCAGCAATTGTAAAAGATAATTGTATAAATCCGTTTTCTTTACTCGCGATAAGATTCAACGAAGTTTACCACGGCCCACACATAGAGTCGCAACCTGCTCTCATACTAGTGTTACTACCCTAAGTTAAAGTCATACACTTGATTGCAATAAAGTTTTCTTAAGGAGAAAAAAGAAAAAAAGTAATAAAAAAATAAAAAAGGCTGAATAGGAATATATTAACAGATAGAACTACATGCCCGGCCGAGCATTTTCTCAAAATTTCCACTAAAGAATTCTTTCAAACTTCTTGAGAGTATTAGACATTGTTAAAAAATTACAAGCGATTCCAAAACTAAAAAAAAGAGGAAAGAGTCGGTGTATACTTATTAATGCCTTATACTTATGAAATATGTCGATAGACTAGAATGTGGCTTTTTCCCTTTTTCTGTTACCTACAACGAAGTTACTGCAATTAGAAGTATCTTATCAGTCTGTTCACTGAAGGCTTCCACATCCACTCTTAAGTAGTTTTGTGGACAGCTTCGTAACTCAAACTGTTACTTGAAGAGTATGTAAAAAGTCATGGAATTGGAACTTCACCGCCAGAATTCAATCTATTTCGTGTTGTAAGCCTCAATAGGTGGTTTCAATGGGGTTTACCGAAAGTAGTAAAACGGCCATAAACTTCAACTGTTAGGCGTAAAAACTGACAAATTCAAATTTTCAGTCGTAAAAAAGTTTTTCCTAAACGTTACTCTTTTTTTTTTTTTTAACCATAAGGGAGGAAAGAAATTAACTGTAAGTCCAAAATTGGTAAAATTTTTAACGTTTAGCCATAAAAGCCATCACCTTACTGAGACTCTCCGGCTCAGCAAAAAGGACCCATTGTTAAAATTTTATCCTGTTTTTCTATTGAATTAAATTATAGAAAGACCTGTTACATTGAAATACCTTTAGGCGCCTCTTTGAATTGTATTAACTAGTGTTTCCTCGAAAAAGCTTTCAACAGCTTTTACCCGTTACTGCTTCGAATGCGTTTAGAAATGCTATGCACTGGAAATTAAATGGATATGTTACCCACAGAATAACAGCTAAATAAACAAATATTATGAAAATCTTAATTGATTTACCCTCAGCCACAAGTTTTTGATTAGAAAGATTCAGTCTTAGACAATACACCACAAATGCAAATTTCAATGCGCAAGAAATAAAGGAAGATTTTTCCGGTATTGATATTAAATTCTGATCTTGGCGGATAGCGCTTTTCTTAGAGCTCGTGTAATTCGAACATTACAAGGGAGTTCAAAGCTGAGAAAATAAACTTATAACGTGTAGGGCCGGTTATTTAAACAAAGTTTATCTGTTGTTTAACAAAACCACTTTCTAAACTATCTTGAATTTAGCTGAATCTTTTACCTGAACATTTATATTTGTGGACGGTGTCAGGAGGGCTGAAAGAAAGGAGTGGAAGGAAATTCATGAAAACTTAGAAACCCTCTTATAGAGAACACGTAACGCCCACTGCTTGCGTAAAAGCGCGGTTTGGGTTACACCTCGTGTAAATAACCGGCCCATAATTTTGAAGTTTTATTTTAGCTTTGTTGAAGTTACCAACTCGAAAATCTTAATTACAAAGCTACTTTGATACATTCTTTACATTACCTTGTCTCTGATACGTACTGAGATGATAATTGTTTTGGTTTTTTATCGCGCCACAACGTATTTTCAGGGGTTAAGGTTAGAGTTACATACAATTTCATTTATTTATTGACACAGGCACATAATTAGAATTCAGTTTTAATTGAAATCCTGTGCAAGGAGAATAGCGGAATGAATAATGTGCCTACGATAAGAATTGAGGACATTTTGGGACAAGGAAAGACAAAATTGTTAGGTGATCGGCAACCTGTAGTTTATTTCATTAAAAATTATAAAAGAAAAATATTTGAAAAATATAAAACGTTAGATAGACATGTTTTGACAAGATTATTGATTTCGGACACTAGTATCTGACTTTTGATGTTGGACATTGGTGTCCGACTGGAGTCCGATTTGTGATTTTGGACGCTACTGTCCGATTTATGATTTTGGACACTAGTATCTGATTTGTTATTCAGACACTAGTGTCTGATTTGTGATTGTGGACACTTGTGTCCAATTTTGGATTTTGGACACTAATGCCCATTATTAATAAATTGGACACTTGTATCCAAAATCACAAATCGGACATTAAAGTCCAAATCATAAATCGGACACTAATGTTTATAAATTGGACACAAGCGTTCAAAATCATAAATAGGACATTACTGTCCAAAATCATAAATCGCGCACTGGTGTTCAAAATCGTAAATCGGACTCTAGTTTACAAAATCACAAATCGGACACGAAACGCTTCTTAACCCGCCGAGTAAAATCTAGTAAAGCAATCGATCCACGTAGGTGAGCCGCAATTTAAACAATTGCAGAATAGTTGCCTGAAAAATAACTCAGATACAACACTGTAGTTAGGCGCGACTACCAACTGAGTTGCGAAGCCACACGTTTCGAATAGGGCACCTGTTATAGGGTTATTTTTTCCCGTATAGGAATCTGATCATATTTTTTAGTGATATAAATTTCATTTTATCTACGAATGAAAATCAAGTAGAGCCTTGTATCTGGGAGAAACGTGTCTGAATCCCGCAGAAGCCTGAATTTTTTTTAAAGGCTTATTTTCTACAATTGCTTAAGTTACCTGCGAGGATCACTTCTTTATTTGATATATCACTTCTTTTGTTCAAGTTTACCCTCGAGATATATGACAGTCAACTGACCCCTTCCACATGAGACACAGGCTTATAAAAAAGGGTAAACCAGAGGTGTTAAGATTTACCGACGATATAACTTTGTCGGATGACTCGTTGATTGGAATTCCAGCCCCTGCTTTTCAGCAAGATCAGTTGATGAACTATATCTAAAGCTTATACATCACTGATTAATATATTCAGTCGCTTTGTCCAACAGTTAAATAAATACAACGTTCAAACGTCATTGAATGTAGCTTGAACCAAAATTGGTAAGTAAATAGGTAAATAGGCAAATAGTGATCGGACTGTCGGCGGACCCTGTAGTACAATATATTAACGGCTTTGAATCACCTGCAAGGTAATGAATATGAACTCAGGTAAAAAAGAAAATTCCTGTCACAGGATGATAGAAAACGAAAAGTTTTATTTAAAAAGATCAAGTTAAACAGGTTTTAAAGGGCGAGCAGACCTCAATTGGTAAACTAAAGTATCTAAAAAAACACAAGATGACTAATTTTTAAACTTCATGAAGCAATTTTCAACTGAGTGTCGAAAGTAATCCGAGATTGCATTGGTATTATCTTACCTCGTTATGTGATTGGTCTAGAAAACTCGCGCCACTCTCTAAACCAATTAATTGCAAAACTAAAACCAATCAGAATTGATCGCCCGCGTCTTTCCGCGCTTTAGACAGTTTGTTTCTTTTAACTTTGTTCTCATTGGCCCTTAAAGATATTTCCCTTTCCTCTGATTAGCCTCTGTGATCAAGTTGATTCTGGTAAAAGATGCTCAACCGAAAAGCGCTCTAAGAGATTAAGTCAGTTAACCACGCTCTTAGCTTTTCTTCCAGATTTTTATTGGATTCAAAGAAAGATTTGCTTTAAGGAATGATTATTACAAATACATATTCGCTGAAACTTTCAATGATGGATGACTGATTTCCTGGCCAAAAGGCCTGGGGCTGCAGATCGTGAACTGTAGAAACGTAGAAATGTAGAAACTATGACTTGCTACCTTTTTCTCTAGAAGTAAAATTATTCTTTACATGCGTTTGCACCTGGGAACAAAAGAGGAAGTATTACATATGTGGTACAAATGAGTAGTTACAAAAATCACAGACGGTTACTCTCTTTAAAGCTTACCTATCACTGGTGGTTGAGTAGTGATGGGTGGAGATGAAGTGGTTAATTTTGGAGCTGAAGAAAATAATAGAACAGGAAAACGTTTTGTTTTTTACGGATGGATATTTAAGGCGAGTTTTTAACAGTAATTTTTCGTCTATTTATCAAATTTTGTCATTGCCTTGATCTGTTGACAGGACTTCACTCGTATGATTTCAGACCAAACTGGACTCCACTTTTTCTATTACTGTTACAAATAGCGTGTACCTGTCTCGCAATCTGTTCCAGTATAGCCAGGCACACAGTCACAACGATAATCTCCAACAAGATCAACACACGTGCCTCCATTCTTGCAAGGGTTAGCTTCACACTCATTTATATCTAAGAATAAAAGATGCACACCAGCTTGTCAAATTAAAACTATTAACTAAACTGACCCCATAGCTGTACTAAATAACGAACGAAATACCTGTTTCGCAGGTTTTTCCTGAATATCCCGTTACACAATCACAGCGATAGCTTCCCTGAAGGTTAACACAAGTAGCTCCGTTCTTGCAAGGACTTTTGGTACATTCGTTAATATCTTAGAAAATGTAAGAAAAGGGAGAAATTCATAATTTACGGGACGCTTCTCGACAGATAACAGTATTGATCCTTTTAAGTTCTAGGGTTGAATATTAGACCTGTTTCGCAGTTCCTTCCAGTGTATCCAGATTTGCAATCGCAACGATAACTTCCTCGAAGATTGATGCAGGCCACTCCATTTTTGCATGGGTTGTTCGTGCACTCGTTCACGTCTAAAAATTACACAAATAAGATTGGGATAACCTTTATTTGAGGGCCACGAATCCTTTTTAGGTTAAAAAATTCGTACTTATCAAATTCATTTCTAACCGTCTTCACAGTTCTTTCCGGTGTATCCAGATTTACAATCACAGCGATATCCTCCTTGAAGATTGACGCAGCTGCCCTCGTTCTGGCAAGGTTTATTTGCGCACTCGTCTGTATCTGTACATCAAATACCACGGCATTTAATCCCGAAAATTTAATATTTTACTTCTAATAATACTATGTCCATGTCGGATTTCTTTACCATGAATCCATGATAATCATGTACTAACATAGTTGCCTTTTGTATATATTACAATAAGTAGAAATGTCCCGTGATACGAAATACTTCAATAGCTGGTACGCATGATATATGACGAGTCATTTAAAAGCTAAACGAAATTGTTTACTTACCCTTTTCGCAATTAACCCCAGAAAATCCCAGTTTACATTCACAACGATAACTATCTTGAAGATTGAAACATGTTGCTCCATTTTTGCAAGGATTATTCTTGCACTGATTTCTAACTGTAAAGAACAAGGGGTGTGTATTAGTAAAAGCTCAGACTGGTCCAAAAGGAAGATCATTGTCATCTTTTCACAAAGACTTTCTAAAAAGGGGCTTGAATTACCTCAAGTTCTAAGACTCTTAACCAGTTTTTTTTTTCGTTTTTTCCACTTAGCGCCGACTTCCATGAAGGTTTTCATAGGCTAAGTACCCCTTTATCATATTGATTCCAAAATGAAAACTTAGAAATACAGATTTCCAATCAATCTCCCACCCTGAGTGTCCGTAATAATGCAGATGACACTACTTTCTTTTTGACACTACTGGTAGACGGAAACATTTATCCCGATTTTTCTTTCACCTGAGCTTCCACAGTAGCGCAGATGACATGCTGGTGACGGTTTCAACTCATAGACATAGAAACCGTCACAGTTACGCACTCGGATGTCAGTTTGCCATTGACAACAACCCTTTTTCCAGTGGAAACACGCTTTAACCGCCGCAATTCCTTGCGCAACAGTGGGATGATGCCCTTGAAGCCAACCAGGCGCATGCGTTCCGCAGGAGTTCATGGGAACACAAGAGGACGGCAGCTCGTTTCCTGAAGATCCACGGAGTCTGTACCATTTGGTTTTCAGTTTATTGTCACATTTAAACGATTGAACGTTGCCATATCCACGAGCTCTGGTATCATCTCCCAGGTACTCGTAGTTGATACACTCTACAAATTGAAAAAGAAACTGGCTTTTCGTAACTACTTGGCAAGGGTAATATCGACATAAACGCAGTAAGCATATAACAACGCAAAATTACATTTGTTTACCTGGTGGTAGGGTGAGGCCTGGACCTGAAATGAAATAACTCAGCAGTTACTCAGAAAGAAATGACGTTTTACAATTACTCTTGCGTTCCAGGCTTAACTGAGGTTTTTCGAGTTACAGCGCTAATGGTTCAACTGCTTTCCGTTCAATTCTAAAGCACAAAAATATACAAGATATTTTTTTGTCGATTACTTTATTTATTAGAAGCAAAGTAATAATTCCAGAAAGAAAAGTACAAGAACAAAAACTGAGCAGTAATAAAGAAAAAGAAAATGCAAATGGGAATTTCGTTGCAGTGTCGTAATCTATGAGATGAATGTCCTCGTGACATGTATGTTTTCTTTAATTTTATAGCATGAATGAAAAAGTCTCTCCTTGAAACTTAAAGTCCCAGTATATTCGTCTCTTACCCGAATTTCCACAGTAACGTAAATTGCATCCGGGTGATTTGTTCAATTCGTATACAAAGAAGCCATCACAGTTGCGCACCCTTATTGTGTTGGACCAGTGACAACAGTTGTCGCCCCAGTGATAACACACCTTGGCCGACACAATTCCGTGCGCTACTGTCGGATGAGTTTCATGAAGCCACCCAGGGGCGCGAGTACCACAGCGGTTCTTTGGGACACAAGATAAGGGCATCGCATCGCCTGAAGCTCCTTGGAATCGGTACCATTTGGTTTCCATGGTATCATCACATTTGGAACTGCTTGTCTGGTAGCCACGTGACCTTGTAGAATCATCAATCACTTCGTAGTTTGAACATTCTGCATTTTGGCGACAGAGAATTTGTTTAAAACTGGTGTTAGGCTGCGTAACATAGAAACGTTTTGTTTTCATCTTACTTAAAGAGTTATAGAAAGTCATAAATAATATTGCACTTCTAGAATTCCAAGTATTCTAATCCCGAATATTTACATACACACGACCAATATGATTTGCATGATGAAGAGCCACCTCTACTCTAGAAACTAACAGTGGGGGTTTTCCAATGATACTCCCACTTGCCTTTTCGACCATTTTGTCGACAAGAGCACATATCAGCATCTTTTTGTAGCTGTTCAACTTTGCCTTGAAATCTATCATCACACTGATTTCCAATAAAGTTGCTATGGAAACAAGGTATGACGTCTTGATGCTAAGCGCGAAACCAAGTAATTTGTTGAAAGAAGTTACCAAGCTTCGATAATTTTAAGAAAAACATGCAGAGGATGCTAAGAAACATGACTAAAATACAACATTTGCTCGTGAAAAAAGTCCTAGGAATAAACAACTAGTCCTTACCTTGTGAAGGTTCTGGTGGACCTAAAGTAAAACATGAAAGTTGACAAAAGTTATAACCATTCATTGTACCACTTCACCATGGCAAAAACCTTATGGATTACTATAGTTATTACTATTATCATTATTCCCACATCAATTATTCACAAGTGAATAATCGATGGGTGGTATCCAGGAACAGTTTAGAAGAACATCTTTATCAGGCTTTATCGTGCCTTTTCCTCAACCTTCCATAGCCAAGCTAAACAAAAGTCGTTTTTACAAACGTTGTCTTAATTATGTTCATTAGTAAAGGGGCTCTCGGAGTGACCTTGCATCCGTTTATCCACATATCAGGCTTTTTTTGCGAAATCATGTGTCCCGCCACTCAGTTGGCAAGGCATATGATTTTGACGGAAAATGGATAATTAAAACCGTCTTTATTCAAGTAAAAACCTTATTCTGCCGGTCAAAAGTATTAAAAATAGCTCTTTGTCCACTCAATGTCGACAATTGCGTCTTCACAAATTAAATAATAGTTGCTGAAATGACACTCACTTTCAAACATTTGACAACATTTGACCTTGTCTATACAGTGCAGTTCTTCGCATCCTCCTTTGTAAAACCCAGCCATGTAATATCCATGATCACAGCCAGTCAGACCTTTCTTGTGGAAAGATGCACCGATATCTTTGATGATGCATTGTCCGTATTTATTTGGAAGGTGTTTTGGTTTGCAACATTTTCCTTCTTCTATATTGTATAGCCAGTCCCCCCAGGTACGATACAGTCCTTGTAGAAAATGACCCTCTGGACATACTGCCCATATATGGAAACTTCAAAGTGAAGAGAAAGATGACAGTTAAACAAAGTTATTTCATGACTAATATTTGAGGGAAAAGAAGGAGGAGGACGGTAAAGTTTGAGCCCCGATCTGAAGTAAAAAAAGAAGCTATTTATGTTGTCTTGGGGGTGGGAAAAAGAACAAATTCTGAGTCACATAAGGAATCGAATCCCAGATCTTCGGATTTCGCGCTCCGATGCTCTGCCTCTCAGCTACAAAAAAAACCATATGACGCGCTAGGCCATAAAAGGACACGCGTCCTTCAAACAATTATCATGACTCTTCAGTGAAGCACTTACGAATCTAATTGATACCACCAATCGGCTTCGATACAAGTGGATTTGGTATTGTGGTTTTGTGCAGCAGCCTTGCAACAGTTGGCCTCCTCCAGCAAGTAAATTTTATCATCTTTGCCGTTGACGTCATTGCGATAAAACCCTGTTATGAATTCATCTGATGAGTCACAGTTTGACCAGCCTCGAGTGTCAAAACTTCTCCACCAATTTGCCATTCTACACTGCTGACTCCAACATTGACTCAATGTCAGCAACAGGAAGGACAGAGATACCAATAGTTTCATATTTCTGCTGGCCCGTAGTACTGTTATGGTCCACAATATATATGAAATAATCAGCACTAATATAACGCCCAGATCACACCATTCACGCATGAAAAAGCAAGAGAATCATAAAAATTTTACCCTTTTTCGACTAAATTTTGGACCTATTGAAAACACAACTTTTTCCTTTGTTATGGTCTTTAGGATACAATCTATGGTCTCTTGAGTGTTTCCTTTTTTTTTTTTTTTTTTCTTTCATTCCTATTTCATTCCTACCCACGAAGCCAGTTGATTAATAGTTGATAGTTTTATAAAATTAGCTTACCTGGCTATTGCAATACAGTGTTCAAGAAAGGACCTCTTAGCTTGCAGTGTTATTCAATTCAAACCTTTTTTGACAAAACTTTTCTGTGGCCAAAAACCATACATAGCAACTGAAGGGAAAATTGTTTTGTTTTTTCTTTCATTTCTTTTTACTTTTTTTTTTTAATTCGTTTTCATTTTTTTAATTCGCATTATTTGTAGATCAATTCGGCTTGCTTATATCTTGTAAAAAAAAATTATTAACCCCCGAGGAAGTAGAAAATTCTTCCAAAAACTGAATTTAAATATTTATGGAATCAGTAAATTCAGTTGATACCAGTTTAAGCTATTCCAGAATTTTTCAATGCAATCAAGACTTGCCTATTTTCCCGTTATCCAAAAAGATACCTTTCACTCCGGATACTTGACAAGCTGCAACACAACCAATTTTTTCTCTCTCCTGGCCACAAAGGAACTGACGAGGCAAAGGCAAAGACTTGCGCTCCATGAAATCCATATTGCTTACTTAAAAATTTCCAATTACAGAAAATGAGCAGCTATTCAAATATTACAGTTAAATAGGTGATCAGCGGAATACTTAGGCGCTGTGAGGTGCGAAAATATGCTTAGAAATTTCATCTTCTATTTTTGTGAAATAATGTTAAAGATAAACAGGGTAAAAAAGGTAAACAATATTTGCGCTCATCAAAATTTAATTACTGTTGAAAATTCCTTTCTAAAGCAGATGCAACCAAACCTCCCACAAATTTACTGAAATAGCCTGACTAGAATTTGAGTTTCGTATTTGGTACGGCTTTATTCAGGATATAATTTTCTTTATTAATCTTTTTCTTAAATGATTCTGAAACGTATTGGTTGTAGCTTAAGCCACACTCAGCTTCGGATGGCTAGTTGTAAGTTATAATGACTAAATGTGAAGGCTGCACTCAGCTGGACAATGCAACCTCGTTTAGAAATGAAACACTTTTTATCATGGTCATCTAATACAGAGGCCTCTTTTTGCAGGCCTGAACTGAGATTCAAGATGGACATGACCTTATTCGGCTGCTTTCAGCTTACAACTGTAACGAATCATAATTTTCAGTCTTTACTCTCCTTTTACTCTTCTCAATTTTATTATTATTTTTTTAAATTTTAAATGGGCCAGTCAACGAATGCGCGTTCTTCTTTTCTCTTGATCGTATGTCATCTCGCATTTAATTCTTTCACCTGGCTTGAAGAACCACCGATCTACAAGGCATTCGATAACAAAGCACAGAAAAAATGTTAACGAATCGGCAAAAAATATTATAAATTATTTCACGGTCCTAATAAGCACTGTTTAACATATTTGTATTCTATTACAGGCAAATAAACAATTACCTCTATGTAACTTTGTTTGTTCTCCTGAAAATGAACTGATTTTATGTACTTTAATCAATGCTAAGTCTATAAATCTCACTCAGAGATATGTCACCTGTCGCCATTTTCATGCAAAACAACGATCTTCTGGCCGTTAGAACAAAGAACCGCTGGTTTTGTTGGGAGGATAGCAAAGAATAATTTAAATGACAAAACCAGTGTTTGTTAGGTGTCGCTGCAAAGTCATGATTTTCCCAAAATCGTCGGAATCTCACACATTTCTCGATGCCACGGCTGTAAAAACATGATGAGTGCTTCTATAACTTTCTTTCAGCTCAAAATATGGTACAAATCAAGAGTAAGTCATTTCATCTTGAACAAATCAAGGGTACTCCTTTTGCATTGATCCGTTTACGAAAAGTAATACACAACGTACTACTTGGTCATGTGCGAGGCCGCTGATCAAGTAAATAGGCCTGTAAAATAGTGTAAGATTTCATTTGACGACAGTTTATGGGAAAGTTTATGGTTGCTAAAGGGATCTGAATTCACCGGTAAAGGTACAGCCAATTGACTTTACGGCTTTAAAAAGACCCGATCTGGCCTTTTTGAGTCTTGTAACCATAAAGAGACTTCGTTTGCACAGAACTGACTTACATAAGAACTTGAAACGAATAACAAAGAAGTAGGCTTCCTCTGTCGCTATGGCGAAGAGGTGCAATCCAGACTGTAAAATGAAAACGATGCTCTCATAACAAGTTTAGAGTCATTCGATGGTTCAGAAAGGGCGATGATTCCTGGTCCCAGGGACTTTTTGTTGGAGGCGTGGATCTAACCGAACAGTGCAGATGGAGTTTGCTTTTAACATCAATGACTTGTTACCCGATCTAATTACAGTCGTTGACGACAAGTTAGCCCCATTTCGGTCGCGAATTAAAAATGACAGGTTAGTGTCTATCGATGACTTTGATGTTAAGATGATAATTCTACATTTTTAACATAACATAGCTATATATTAATTTGATTTAAATTATATTGCGAGTAATCGTAAATTTATACTCGAGACATCATGTTCAGGTTCATCTATCAACCATTGTGATGTTGTCAGAAAGAAAGCAAGCAAAAAAAGAGATTTGGATTAAGCACGAAATCAAACCAAACCATAAAGCTGTAAATGTTTACAACCTAACTTGTTTTAATATCGCACCTAAGTAGCATAAACTGTTGGTATTTAACTTAAATATAGAGCCTAATTGTGTGGCAAAATTTAAATCCCGGAACAAATAGAGACTTGCAAAATGTACCGGTTAATTTTTTGCAAATTTAAGTGAATGCAGAAACTAGAAAACAATTGGTTTACATAGAGAAAGATTTTCCAGATATTTGTTTGTGTTCCATTAAAAGGTATGAATTTGCAAACAAGCAATCTCAGCTGAAGATAGTTATTGATCACATGGGGGAAGCTTCTACAAGGGTGAGATTTATTTATCACTGTCATCTTGAAATCAGTTTGGGTAATTGATACTATTCTTTTTGCTGACAATACTTGTCACAATTAAGATCAAGCACTGTATAGGAAATTCATGAAGCATATTAGTTTTTAGTTCTATAATTCATTTTCAATATATTATGTACATGTAATACTGCATTTGCAGGGCTTCTGATTTTGTGCTATGAACTGACTGCAAAGAACGTATAGTGTGTCATTGACAAGGAATCCCATGATTCATGGAAATGTGAGAATTTGATACAATCTCATACAAAGATCCCAATGTATTATTACTTACATGTAGTGTAGGAAACATTGTACATAGTTATAATTAATTTTAGAAGACTACCCTTGGGTTGTCTCAAACTACATGTACCAATTAGATAAATAAGTGTCTGGAGAAATCCAAAGATTTTCAGTGAATTGATTTAGGAAACTGGGAATGGTATAACTGACAGACTTCTGAGATTTTTGAATCAGTTAATTAATTAATTCATAGGAATTAATTTGTGTTAGGATTAAGTTAAATTAAAAGTGTTGTTCAAAGCTTAGTCTGTTGAAATATATTTAGATTTTTTTAATTTGTAACTTAGCCAAGTTCTCTCTTCCACCAAGGCCCAAGGTTTGAGAGCACCAATTACAAGTGCATTAAAACTGCAACATTCAGACCACAGGCTTTATGTTATGAAGGATTCAGCTGCAAACAAGTATGTTTTTACTGTTATCATAAACTGTGTATTTACCATGGGTTAATGCATTGGAGCTGGAATTATTAAGCAGGAGGCTTTGGAAGTTAAATTGGCTTATTAAGTGAGTCACTGGAAAATGAAAATGAAAGCTGCATGCAACTCAGAATTTGAGGTTGTCTGTGATTTTTAACCAATTAGAAGCTCTTGACATCATACATTCTGTATTTTTACTTGAAAAGTCTCAATGGAGATATCAGGGTTTGCAGTAGACTTTTTTATTCCTGTACTGTAAACAATTTCCAAATACTGTTTAGAAAATAGATGGATTTCCTTTTTCTTTGTAACCTAGTGGCCAAGGAGCAGTTGTGGGGATTCTTAAAGTTGGTCATAAAAAGTTGTTTTTAATGGTAAGGAAAGTTTGATATGTTTTCTTAGAAAAACTACAGTAAGAGAAAAAAAAAGGGTTTTTTTTTCATTTTGTTTGCTTATTTGTTTTATTCTTTGTGTGTGGAGGTGAAAGCTTTTGTAGAGAAGAGAATTTATTTTTGACTCAAGTTATGTATGACTAAATACAATTGCACCTCATTAGGATATGCAAAGTGTGCAGTATGAAGTCAATCCCTTGTGTGTATTGGATTTCTATGTCCATGAATCTCGTCAGAGAACTGGTTGTGGCAAAAGGCTATTTGAACACATGTTGAAGGTACAGTATCTAGAGAAAATTGAAAGTGGCTTTACCTTGGTAAAAGTAAAAACTAGGTCTGAGTTACTAATTAAATGCTGCAGCATTGCAGATGGTGCAAATTTTCAAACTTTTAGCTTTGGTATTCTTACATTGGTGTCGCTGGTTTCAGACTTGTAAGGTTTTTTTTCACTTCTTGTCAGACACCAAAATTCTTGCAGCAACAAGATTGCATACATTACCACTCACCAGGCTGATTTTGTTAAAGAGAAAGATATTTATTTTAAGAGAAATAGTATGCCCCGAAAAAGACATTCTCTGTTTTCTGAATCAAAGTGTGGGAAATTGAACTCGTGTTATTCTTTTTTCATCAGATGGAAGGTAGAATGGTTTATCAGCTAGCTATTGACAGACCATCTCACAAGTTTGTCTCTTTTCTGAAGAAATATCATGGCTTTAAAAATGCAATTCCTCAGGTTGGTTTCGATTTTCTGTAATGTATGGTCACAAGTTTCATAAAGAGTTCAGGTATAAATTTTTTCAGTGGTACTGTGAATGAGAGATGGAGAATTTTCCATCTTGCAGAATTCCCATCTCTGTGAATTCATGGTATGGCTTATAATAAGCTGCAAACTCTGCACATACATGTAGTAACAAGCAAACTAAACTAAATGCTCGAGGGATATGCAGGGAAATTTTACAGTACAGTGCTTCACATAAATCCAGTCTCTTGCATTTGGACAGCAAATTGAAACCATTTCCTATTGGTTACAATGTAAATATTCTGGATTCTTGATCTAAAGGTCCTGGGTCTTAAAGTTCTGGCCTAGGTCTACTCTCGTGGTGCCGCTGACCACTTACATGTAGTCTCCTTCAAAGCTGTTCTTTGGTCTCGTAACGCAACGTCATTTGTCTAGAGCGTTGCGTGATGTCCTCGGTTGCACAGGGGACTTTGACCATTCTTCACTTGGGAATGTAAATGGTATCGAAAAATTATCAGAGATGAGGATGAATAAATAGTTAGCCCTCGTTTTTCCTTTAGGATTAGAAAGAAATGGTAAAACGCTTGGCTTGTCTTAACGCAAAGTCTCGCAAAGCCAATTCTCCCCTATCTCCGTCCCCCTTACCTTAACACTTAAAGCGTGCTCTGCTAAGACGAGTTACTATTTTGTCGTTGTTTTCAGGCAAACAACTTTGTGATTCATGAGCATTTCTTCTCGGATCTGCAGGGTAAGACTATTTTATGATCCCAGACGATCCAGACCGTAGGGGAAAATAACTAGTCTGAAAACTTTGAACATCGGTGTGTTTATTCACTCGCCTGGTCGTTCTTTTCCCCTTTATTCGTTCACTCTCACACTCAACCCTCTTTCCTTTTCGTATCCAGGGCCTCAAAAGGCCATGCAGTTTACTCAGTAACTTGTCCATGTCTTTATGGCGGCCTTTACTATTGTTTCGTTCAGCTGCCCAGTTTAATTTTTCTTTTTATTATACAATTTATCTTCGTTTTATCATTTCTTTTTCGTAGCTGTTGGCCATGTACCGCGTCGAAGTTATCGCTTTGCTAATGCCAGTCTATCAGGGAAGCCCCCAATACATACATACAGAAAGACAAGTAAGATCAATCAGTTAATATGAAGGCAACTGGACTAAATTAACAATTTATTTCTGAATTTCTTTTAAACCTTGAACTCCCAAGATCTGATTGTTGATCCTCCGCTTTAGCTGCTATACATTTCCTCGTAGATTAGTTATAAGAATTTGATTTTAAAATCAAGATAACAACTTCGCCTGATAAGTTTGAGTACTCTCATTACCTGTTTGTGGGATAATGTAGGGATATCTTAGGGAGAAGGTACATGTTAATCACTTTTGGGAGTTAAAGGGTTAACTTATGGATACAAACCACAACTCACTTTCCTTTGCCAACCCATCGTCAATCTTCATGCCTAAATCAGCCAGTGGCATGGGTTGATCTAAATTTAAGGGGTGTGGGGTGGGGTGGGTGCATCTTCCCTCTCACTAAATGATTTTGATCTTGGCAATACTTATGGGTGATGAGTCTAAGCAGTTTGTGGAATTCATCAAAAAAATGAGTGCGGTTGGATTACAAAAGTTCAAGCTCATCCCACAATTTAGTGATTTTCGTGGAGCACTGTGCAGTAAACATTGCACTGATCTCGCTATCTCTAAATTTGTCTCGCGTCTGTAGGTCATGCTCGTGACACTCCACCTCTGCTGCTGCGTCGTCAGTCTTCTTCCAGCCGTCAGTCCAGTCGACCGAATAGCGGCAGAGAGTTCTCACACGACACTGCACACAGCGGCGAATCCGAGCCGTCAGCCTTGCAGCGAATAAACAATTCTCTACAAGACATCAACCTTCCTCCAGTAGTGCCAAGGCCTTCATCACGAAACTCGGCACCAGGCTCACGGGGTTCCTCTGCAGGGCGGAGGTCTGTGACGAGACAGATGGAGTTAGGGTAGGAAAGGGTTATGCCCCTAATTAACCAGTGATGTTGTTATTTGTTCGTATTTTTTTCTGTCACGGTGTACTCGTTGTACGGCGGATTCCATAGCCTTGTTGTACCCTGGAGTCTAATACGTTGTAGCTACAAACATGTGTTATTCTCGGATATCAGTTTTACATGCGATATTTCGTCATACGAGGAAAGTGTTTCGATCCTTTTCCTCGCTGGCTTTCATGAAGCTACCAACGCGATTTGATACAAATACAGCACCAGAATACGCTTCAACTTTTCCAAGGTTATCCGATATTGCTGTAAAATACAGGATGTAAATGTAATGAATTTCGCTGTGTAAACACCTTGTAAAGAGTATTGCCTCGGTGTTATAGCATTCTGGAGGAGAAGGGGTGAGGACTTGTGAAATATTTATCCTGGAGTCTATAGTGAGACCCCATGTTCAATGTAGGTATTTCGTGCGATCAGTGAAGAAAATCTCAGCCGAACGAGACTTGAACGTAACATTTTGCATGTCATCAGCTTCATTGATGGTAATGATTCATCTTCGCTCTTTTGCTTTTTGAGTACAGGAGTCAATTATTAACTAAAGATTAATAACTCCTTACCCTTTACTTTTCGTGTAACATCAGAACACCAGAAGCGACCGGTCACGTTAGCTCTGAGACCTACAACGCGTCACGTGGTTTGGCGGCTCGCGCCACTTCGTACAGCCGCCACTCAAACCGCGGGAATTCAGCGGACTTTTCAAAGACCGAAAAAGACGTCGTAGTTACGGGCACAAAAGTTAGTGACAATTTTTATAGGAACAATAGCGGAGGAAGAGCACGATCTCTGCATCTTACCTCAGTCGAAAATCCTTTCCTGGGACACGGAGTTATGGAAAAAACTTCTCCACAGAGGAAACAAGAAAGAGCAGGAACGCAAGAACAGTTAAGTTATTTCGAAATATTTCTTAGCACTCTGTTGCCTTGATCACCATTTGTTCTGGGGTTTTTAGTGTAATATGTTATAAACTGACGGTAATCGTTGGTGAACAATGCAACAAGTCCAAAGAAGGAAGTAAATACTTCTTCAATAATCCTTCTGCGCATTTTTGTTTGTTTGCTTGTACCTTTTTATTTCGTTTTTGTTTTTTCTTTTCTTTTCTTTTTTTTGTCTTTTGTTATTGTTTTTTGTCTGTTTTGTTTTTGTTTTATAGGTTTGGTTTCCAATAGAGATGTTCTTCTTTTCCGGTTTTTTTGACCATCACAAAATTTTGGATTTAAGGCTCCCATCTCCAGAAATTTGTCGTAACCTTCACTTTTTTGCTCACGATGAGCAACGAAATAGCACAATTTTTGTTCCATTTTGTTTCTCGGAAATTTTTCCAGGGCTTTTGCTGCGTAAATGTTAACAGTCTGCACCGTTCTCTAATTCTTTTAGAATGGCCTCGACGATGGTTCCGCCCGAAGAAGGCGCACAGGATCAGAACTTCAATATCACTGACAAAAAAGAGACATCAGAGACATCACAACAAAGTGGAATAACACCATCGGGAAGTTTTACCGTCGGCACAATGTTTAAAGCCCATTTTGGTAACAGACAACCTTTCATCGGTAGCTCCTGGAATATTTTTGGAGTTCCGACCTTTATGAATAAAGACTCTAATTCAGCTCACTACGCGTACACGAGACGAACACAAAGTAGACATCACCCGTTTTGAGGAGTTCATGTACATAATGCACTCCTGCTAATATCGGGCTGGTTCCGTGGGGAACGAATTTTCTTCGGTTGTAAACGAGCAACGCTTTTATTAATGTTCATCATTTAGTTTCCGAGTAAACCTTCGCTATCCTGGTATAACATTTGTTTATTCCTATCTCTTCAATGGTTGTCTAAATCAGCAAACGATTATGTCAAAGGTAATTACAGCAATTTTCAATTGAGTGTCGAATGTAATCCGAGATAGCATTGGTTTCGCTTTATTCCGCTCTGTGATTGGTCAAGAAAACTCACGCCAATCCTCTTAACCAATCAGATTCGAAACTTGAACTTATCTTGACTCGGCCATTTGCCTTTTCCCGCGTTTCAGGCAGTGTACTTGACTTTTCATCGGCGCCTTCTGTGTTCTCGTTTCGTCGTATTTCTGTTGCCATTACTGTAATTTTGGTTTGATGACACTCACTCAAAATTGGCTTAAATTTGATCAATTTATGATCGATTTTTCAAGACGTGACTTTAAACATGATTTCTTCATGTTAACAGCGGCAAAGGTCGAGTGAGGGCCTTTAACTCGACACCTTTACGTAGACACCCCTCTCCCCTTTTCCTCTTCCCCTGGTTAAGGGAAGGAAGTGTTACAATCTAACTCCGCACCGCCACCAACCCGGATAACGAGGCATGGCAAATTGAATCTGTATCTTAACATAAATTATTATCACGTACGTTTAACTTCGCGCCCTTTCAAGAGAACCGTCGAAGAGGTGACCAGAACGCACAAAGTTAATATCATTGTATGATTTTATCTTGATTGAACGCATTGATAGTGTGTAGGATAGTTCAGTGTGCGAGTTTTTCATGCTACCTACATCACTTCTATAAATAATTATTTTTACTTATATTTATATTATTTTTATACGCAAAAGAAATGCATGTACTTATTTCTGTCCGTGTCTATTGTGTAAACCCTTTAACTCCCAAGATCTGATAGTCAATTCTCCCCTCCAGCGACTACATATGTCCTTTTAAATTAGTTACAAGAACATGGTGTTAGATCAAGACAACGACTTCTACTTGAAATGTTTGAGTATTTTCGTTACCTGTTTGCTGAATAATGTATGGATATTGCAAGGAGAAGATAGACGTTTATCACTTCTGGGAGTTAAAGGGTTAAATGTGTGAAAATAAAAGAAATTGAGAAAAAGAAGCTCTTGCGTGACACTTTTTGTGGACGGACACAATGTGCCTGTGGCTTTTAGGAGAATGTTCCAAAAGTAGTATTTGTGTTTAATTTGACCCCTTTATACTCGCTGTGAGAGCGTTCTAATTTGACTGGTATTTTGGCTAGCGTGACCTGATGCTTGCTATTTCAAATGAAATGTTTTCTTACACGTAATTGGCTTTAGATAGAGACTGTTTTGACTGAGTTTTGTTTAGTACCACTTGAGGCCATTTCCCAATAGCTAACGTATTGAGTTCGTACCCCATCCAGGAGCGGATGTTGACAAGAGAAAACCGAGACCACTGCTTTAGGTCCAGGAAAACAAAGCAAGAGAGAGCACGCGAGAATTGGCCTAAGAAAATAGTGAACTTGTCGAGTTAAAACTCGTGTTTGCTGTTTCCAGTTACTAGCTATGTAATACCTAATTTCAGTTATATCGTTCTCTTTAGGATTATCAGAAAGTTGTAAATATAAGCTGCTTACGAACGTGAAGGGCGATTTCGGCATCTGATATCCATTCTGATTTGTCAGTGCGAAAGCCTGAATGATTGGCTGGCTCGTCGACGAAATTTTCTGCAGCATTTTGTAGGTTAGAGACATTTTCTATTTCTATTTCTTGCATATGAGGCTGGTTTCCCAAAGTTCAACACCAACTTATGGTCCGACAAAACAATATCGACCTTGGATATTGTAACTCAGAACAGACGAACACCTTAGTTTGAAATTCTTAAATTTGTTGAGAGTCATCCGTCTTCCTGAATCTTTAGATCAGACAAGTTTCCAATATCTTTCTTGTACTTATGACTGTTCATTTTTTATTCGCATGTGCTTCCGATGCCGTTTGCCGACGATGACTCGACGAAAACCTATGATATGATATGGGATGACAATGCGGTTTTATGAAGGCTGTGGTATAGTACAGCACCGTAAATGTTCAAAGAGCAATCTTCAAGGCGCCAAGACACCAGTTGTGGGTTTGGCGCCGGGTGGAGAGGTTCTATTTGGGATAATGAAATTTCTTTCCCTTAGTTCTTTTTAACAGGATTAGTGGCTGACAATATAATGATAAAATCATCGAGCACTTTCTATTACAAGGAAATCACAATTTAATTGTGGGGGTGTACACGTAATCTACACATCTTTTCTATTCTAAACTTCTTGGCGATGTAACCATTCAAAAATAGTGTTTTGATATTGAGCGATAGAGATTAATGGTTTAACTAATGAAATATCGAAAGAGGTTAAAGAGAGGTATGACGTTAAAACACTTAGAAATGGAATAAACAAGATTAATATTTTGAGACGAATTAACTAGTGTTTGCGCGAACTTTCAAGATGGGGGAAAATATTTTGTTATCATATCTATAGGATTTAAGACAATGATTCCTTCTCAGGTAAAAACACAGAAAAATAGAAAAATCGCCCCTAAAACGTGGCAAGACTTCATCGTTTGATGGAAAGAGCAGAACAACAACAACAGTTCTTACTTTAGCCATATATTCGAAGACAAAATAAAGAAAAAAAAAGTGCGTTAAGAAGCTCTGAAAAGTAAAGGGTGGTGGCTTCACTGAAACAGAGACTGAATTTTTCTGCAAATCAATACAAACCCGCCTACCGTGCCCAGTAGGAAACCAACGCTTTCAAAGGCGGTAAAACATACGAACAGAGATCAAATTACAGGAAGGGCTTGACCTCTCTCTTTTTCTAGTTTTCAACTTTCTCTCACGAAATACTTTATTTGGCGCCATAGATATCACCCACAGTTCCGAGCTAACGCTAACTTTGCCAATTGAAACTTTGAATAATATTTAGGCTCCTAAATTAACTTGTATCCAGTTATTGGTACTTAATTGCTTCGAAATGACTTCAAATAACGTTTTCAAGGTTTAATATATAAAGCAACAAGCATGTGGTCGGATTTTAAAGTACAGCCGCAAGCCTGTCCTTGTGGTATTTTGTTGTGGGATAGATAACACCTCTCAATGGCTTATTTACAGATCATTTATTTTTCAATGACCGTTTCAGTGCAGTTTCACGTCAGTTTCAGATATTCTTTAGACTTGGTCCTGATTGCCACAGTCTTTTTGTAAGCATGGAAAACATAAAAAGCTGTTTCATTATCTTGAAAATGAGGTGCATACACAATGTAGCTTACAGAGTTGAAAGCACGTTGCGTGCTGTGAGCGTTTGTCGGCTTCGGTCCTCACCCTGGCGTAGGTGTTCCATAACAACTCAGGAAGGAACCGCTGGATAGAGGCTTCAGAGTGCACAAATTGATATTCTACTGCCTCGTGCCTTTTTTGGCTTGTTCTCTCGTTTATGAACCAACTTTAAACTTAAGCAATGACGTTTGTTGGACTTTGAACTTTGGTTTATAAACTATTCCTTAATTTGAGCTGTTCTTAATCGCCCGTACCAAAACCTCCCAAAGTGTATCCCAATCTTAAGAAGTGCAGCCGACACAAACACTAATGGAAAGAACTTATATTGTGTGCGGTGAAATGACTTTAAGTCTGTTTTTTGATTCTTTCGGTACTACAAATCAACTTCCCAGTTTTACATTTTTCAGCTTTATTTTTCGCAAACTGTACTGAGAATCATGAAGATTGGTTTGCATTAAAAGCTGGCGATGTGCTCTACAGCTTTGTTTATATAGGAGTTGAATGATATGGTAACACACCACTAAGTTGTTGTTAAGTTGTTTTCAGCTCGTTCATAATTTTCAAAACTTCAGAATGTACAATCATCTGTTTTCATCGTTTAAAAGCATCACATCAGGCCAAGAATATTTTCCATTCCGTCCTTTCTTGTTTCGTGTTTCGTATTTAACCAATGTCACTTAGTTTTTCTTCAAATGAATGTAGAGACTCTCTTTTCGCGCTGGCATTCACAGAAAACTATTGAACAACAATTGAAATTTCTAGTCAAAAATATAGAGTAGGTCACTGAATATAGCATCGCGGTCATGTTGTATGTTGTAGATGCTCAAAATAAGGCCACTGTGGTGCATTTCGACCTCTGATTTGCTTACGATCATACGTTAGGAAATAACTGAGAACGTTCGAGAATGGATAACAATCAAAGCCGTCAGTCCTCTTAATTTTTTTTATCAGTGTCATATATATTGCAATTTACGCCCACCTCAGCCTGGCCCTGGATTTGTCACGTTTGAATCGATCCGTTTATTTGCCTCTTAGCAACCGTTGGCTACTGCCCCCTTAAATGACGGCTGAGATGAAATACCCACTGTCAAAACAGGAAAACATTGAAAACATTTGAAATTTATCTGTTTATTTACCTCTTAGCAACCGTTGGCTACTGCCCCCTTAAATGACGGCTGAGATTAAATACCCATTGACACAACAGGAAAATATTTTGTCCCATAACTGGATAAGTAGGGTGTGGGCATATTGTATGATTCTCCACAAAGAGGCATTTTTATGTATTCAGTCACTTTCAAAACTGCATGCAGACATAAAAGTTAACTGTGAAGGTGCCTTAAAAAACACGCCTCCTTAATTGCTTGTGATCGGGCCCGCTTTCATCTCATTATCATTTTAGTTGTTTTCTAGTCTAGTCAACCGTGGATTATTCCCCGATGGCAAGTGATATGAAATATTTTTATTTGGAACAGTCATCTTCCGAACGAAGTAGGTGATTCGTTTTTCTACCTTTCAACCTTAACTTTTCGGTGATTTTAGTAGACTGGAATCTAAGGAGCACGATTAAGCCATAGTTTAATGCAGGTGAACACGTCTCAATTGGTCTAAGTCCCCATCTTTGTATGTCAAGTACGTCCTTAGTTTAAATGAAGTTTACGTGGGACGTGAGAAAAAAATTGGTCTCACTTAATTTGCTCGTGCAATTGTGCATTCTTTCTTACAGAGTTCACGGCAAAATATCAACCTAACTCGTTTACAAATGGCTGAAATTTTTCATTTCATGTCCAATTACCATACGAAATTTCCCTCAGGCTCCGCTGGTAATTTGGAGAATTAAGCTTAGAGCAAAGGTGAGGAAAACATCTCGATAAAGATAGATCACAATGTGGCTTTGGTCAATTTTCGTAGAAAGTGAGCGTATTATGAAACTCAACATTTTAACTTGGCTTCTTTTCAATTTTCTAATCTTTTCTCACAGCACTTTGTTTGGAGGCTGCAGTAAGTGATACTCATTAAAACAAGTTCATGACATTTTACTTTCATTTAGAAACAAGAAACCAATCATTGAACTCATTAATATTAAAAAAGTGTTATATGGCCGAAACAAAACAAGATAATTCACAACAAATATCTAGATATTCTTAAAATACTTCTTACGTAGCATTTAACTACTTCCTGCAAGTATGTCTCTCGTGATTCGAGGGCTTTGTGTAATCACTTGCGCTTGATTTTCCACATCGTTCCGTTTATTCTACTCTAAACAAGTATGTGTAGTCTTGTGTAGAGTGTTTTTTTCCGAATGGACGAGTGAATCAAATTCCACTAAAAGCTCAAATACCTTCTTTGCACGCGATCTGCACATTTCTGTTCATTTTGATCACGCACAGCCCTATTCCGCTAACTGCCCTCATGGGCATATAATACTAAAACCCTGACGCAAACTACAAACAAATTGGAGCTGGTAAGATCTTCGCTAATCCAATATGTGCTCTTAATAATTACTTCGACATCTGA